TTCTGTTTGGTCCAAACTGAAGCTGCATGGGCTCCAGAGGAAGACTGCTGGATTTGGGGTATCTCAGATTAATTCTGAGGCAAAGAGAAATGTTCCACCATCATTTTGGAGCCAGAAAAATGGAAATCACACTTTCCAGCCTCTCTTTCTTCAGGCTTCAGATACTGCCCCAATTAGTAGCTTTGCTGCTTCCTCCTTGAATTCCTTTAGGAATGCTAGGAGATACCATCCAGTCCTCCTGACCATTCCTGAACCTCTTCTGAGCATACTTTGATATAGGATAGATCCTCTTGTAATACATACAGAGTGCATCATACACACAGCTATGAGTCTTGATCATGACCATGGAGTTTCTTGGCGTGGCGTTGGGCATCTGTAATGGGATTCCTGCAGCAAACCCTAAGGTCCCACTCCAAGGTAATGATCTGCGAAGGAACCAGTTAAAACAAATGCCTGTTTCAGTTGGGATCTAGAGAGGCTTGCAAACATGCCAGACCTCCGTAATGGATCTCTGGAGGGAGAACAGTACCTGGAGGAGCTCCAAGTCCCACCTTCTTCATGCACATCACTAAAGAATAGCTCCCTCCTGTGCCCACTGTGCTTTTGCTTGCAGGCCCCATGCTGTGCTGGGTACAGTGCTGGGTCACAATGAGCTGTTTCTCTTCAGAGAGATGGATTGGATTTTTAGACATGGTATCTGCTGGATATATCGGGAAAAACTGTCCTCTTTTGCATTTCTTGGAGTTTTTCAACAAGTAGATTTTTTTTTTTCCACTCACAATCATTGTAACAGGATTTTATTCTCCTGCAGCCAGCTGTTAGCAATTAGCAACTTGATCCATTCAGTCCTGAGAACAGAGTTTAACACTTTCTTGCCTCTGTGAGGATGTTGCTAATCCTGTTTTTGCTGGTTTTGGGCTTGTGCTGTAGTTTTGGCACTTTCTGTGTATGTGTGGGCAGGTCAGGAAGAAAGGCATGAGTACAGCAAGGGACTCTAATGCAGCTGAAAGAGCTACAACGAAAAGTATCAAGTAATCTACCCAGAAAAAATCATTAGGAAGATGATTTCCAAGCAGTTTGTACAGAGGCTTGTATTTAGAAGTATATTCCAGTGTGTTCTAGTGCTGGGAATTGTGCAGTTTAGGAATCCAATCTACTACTAGCTGAGATTTAGACTTAGCAGAAATCAACATCAGTAGTTCTTCAAACAGTGATTTCTGGCAGTATGAGATCCTGAGTGGAGCTGAATTTCCTCTAAATTATGAGACAGGGGTGAAAAACACTCTTGGTGACCTTGCCCAAGCAGCTGCTGTAGAGCATGAGAAGATGAGAAATGACACTGCTCCCTGTGTGCAGCACCTCTCCTGGGACTCCCAAACATGCACGTTGGTGGTCCAGGACCAGGAACCAAGTGTGGCAGGAAGAATAAGTTCAGCACAGCCTGAACTCAGCTGCTGGGGTTCCTGCATATGGCTGAACTGCTGTAAATACTTATTCACTGCCACATACAAAGGTGAGGATTTGTCTTGCCAGACTGGCCACCTGGGAATGATGAGGCTAGTCCAGGCCAGCCATTTAGGTTCCCTGTGTCATCAGTGGAGATAGACACATCTCGAGGGGATTCATCCTGCTCATCTTGGATGCTACTTAGGCAAGGGCCAAATTCAAAGCCAGCTTTTGTTAGCACAGGGGTGCAGACAGGTGAGCTCGAGTCAGCTCTGAAGGTGTCTGTGTCTTTCCTGGAGGCCAGGCTGGTCTCTATGGCCACATCTTCCAGTTTTGGCTTGCAGTTCCCCCAAGCCACACCATTTTTGCTTGCCCTGCTAAGCTCCACGTGCCTATCAAGTCCTGAGAAGCCCCCTGTTCACAGGGTGCTGGCTGCAGCAGGGTGGGACAGACACCGCCCCAGCCCATACCTTTCCTCGAGCACTGGTTGCTGTCTCAGGGGCAGGAGCTGATGTGGTGCTTGGGCACCTCTGCGTGACTTCCCTTGTCCCCACCCCACTCCCTCTTCGCTCCTGTTACCTTTTACATTCTGATCGCTGTATTCCAGTGGTTAAATGATGTGACTGGCTATGTGGCAATACAATAGGTGTGATTTAGAAGATGGCGTGAGCTTTGTGTAAAGCAAATGGGCACTTAAATTATGGTGTTTGGTCTGTACCTGGTCAAATGAGATAATGCTGCTGTTTGTGTTACACATCTCATTATTACTGCTGTGACATTGGTGGCCGTTGACACGACTTGCTTGCAAGTCATTTTGAGACCATGACAAACTTAGCACAATTACTCTTTTGTCAACAGGCAAACCCCTTACACCAAAATTCAGCTTAGTACTTTCACTCAGGGTGCTAGCTGATCCAAGCTGGGCTGTGACATCTGTGCTGATAGCAGAGGATAGGTGTTACTTCGTCCTTGTGCTCTGCTGCACGCATCTGCCTCCCTGCTGTTCATCCTTCTTTGCTGGGCTTTTGGGTCAAATAGGAGGCCAAGGCATTTGAATGCTTACAGTGATGTCTGTCTGTTTTTCTGGGGGCTTATTTTTTTGGCTTCAGCAGTGGGCTCTGGTCCTCACCTAGCCATGTAGAATTGCTGTTTCAGTGCTGTATGGCCCCCCTTTTCTTTAACCCTGGCCAAGTTAGAGGGAAATCCAAGAGTGGTTTTTGGTGGGAGCTAGCCTGTACCTTTACAGATGCCTGATCCTCTCCCTCTTTGCCAGGCTCTGTTTCTAGGCCCTGAGGGGGTGATAAGGGTGTGGAGTGTAAGGACTCCAATACAGCTGGCAGCTTTTAAACCTCCAGCTGAGAAGTCACCTGGGAGGTGTCTTCAAGCTGCTGTTCTCCTGCCAGGGTCTTCTCAGCAACTTGCAGCTCTGTTTGGTGGCTGGTCCAGCATGGGGACCCAAGGGAAGGATCTTCTCTAGCCCAGGCTACACAGCCCAGCTGATTTGGGCAGACTCCTGGATCATGGTCAGGGCACCCCATATACCACCAAACAGCTCTCTGCTGTGTTTCCCATCACCTCCTCCAGGAGCATGGTTAAAGCCTTAATGTTCATGACACTTTACTTTCTCACATCCTATGAGAGGACAGTCTCCTCTAGTGCTGAACTCTCTGCAGTTCCCTTTGCAAGTCCTGCTTCGGGAGCCTCTGGAGCACCCTGCGTAGATTAACTTCCACCAGGTCTGTCTTCAAACTCTGCTGAAAACATGTCTTTACAAAATCTCCCTCTGCATGACTACAAGAAGTCTCTGCTCCATGGTACTTGCAGTGTGTCATGGGATGGTGGGAATTGGTGTGTTTGTATCAGAGATCACCCCCCTCCATTTCAGGGGTGAAGGTGACTGTGGATGCACATGTAGCTTGAGAGTGCTTGGTCAAAACCTCTTTTTTGATTGCAAGACCCTCCTGCTGAGATATGGGGTGCCTTTTCTCTCCAGTGCTTTGCTTTTGCACACTTTCCGCCTGAGATGCCACAAAATCACAGAACCTTGTCGACAGCCTCCTCCCAGCTGTGGCCAGGGTGCTCACCTGGAGCACAAGAGGTGGCTGAAGCAGGAGGGATCCTGGCAATTTTAAGGTCTTTTTTGGTTAGTTTGCATTGTCAGATGGCTGGGCACAGCACTGCTGGGCAGCATCCACTGATCATTAGTTTCCCCTCCTGCATGCATGTTTGGCTCTTTTCCCAAGAAGGCCCTTAGTTATTTTTCAGGCTCAGAGCCATCTTTTTGGACAGAATCCAGCAGGGACAATGGCCAGTAGCAAATCCTTAGGAAAGAGAATAAAAACAGGGCAAGCCTCAGTGATTCTAACCCTGATTTAGCTTCTGGGCGTCGAGCAATCTGCGGCTGGGGGATTTTCTGAGCCAAAGGTTTTACCTTTGGATTTAAGAAGCTGTGGTGTATCTTTCTGTTGTGAATATATCCAATTGTTTTGGTATCCATGGCAACTCATGGCTGCTACTTGTACAGTTTAATTATGTTCGGTGGAAAAAATAAAGCCTTTTGTTACAAATCTCTGAGCTAATGGCATATGATGCTCTTGCACGCATGTATGCACTGGCATAGTGATGGTCCCTTTTTTATCCTCTCTTCCTTTACTAAAATCCTAACATTCAGTTTTGCGTTTTTACTACCACTCTGAGGATTCTTGAGCAAACACCCTCTGGTCCTGGCAACTTTTCATTTATTGATTTGTTCTGTTTTCTTTTCGCCTGACATTTCAATATGAGACAGAGCCTCTAACCTGCCTTCTGTAAAGCTGTCTTCTAGTATGGGAACCTCCTGAGGCTTTTTGTAGGACACACAGAATTCACATAACTGCTGATATGACCTTGTGTTCCTTTAGGTGTTATCATGGCTTTCCACTGAAATTGCCAGCATTTAAGCCCTTTGCTATTTTTCTTGTTTCCAAACAGGAAATTAAGTGTGCTCGCATGTGTGAGTGCACATGCTCTTTTGGCAGCAATGTGGACATGTAGGGAGAGATTATTTTCGCCCTGTTTTAGACATTTATCTTAAGGTTCTGTGACAAGTTCCAGAGTGTCCACTGGGCCATTTGGAGTACACAGCTGGTGCAGATAGAAGTGTGCATTGGGTGGATAGGCACCACTTGGGGAGCCTGGTTGGACTATACAGGTTCATTGTAGATGCAGCTTCAGTACTTGTTAATATAGTAAGGAAGGTGAAGAATTGATGGGGGAGAGATTACTTTGCATTGGACTTCTTTAAGAGCAGTTAAGAGAGTATGTCCACACAGTAGTCATGGCAGCTGAGCTCCTAAAAGCTGAATTACATTAATAGCTTTAGCGATGGTATGGGTAGTCAGGCAATCATTAGTACTTCACTAAGCCTCTGATCAGGTGGTGGGTCAGAGTAGGGCTAAAGTCAAGATGCTCTTGAAGGCACAAAAGAATGCCCAACACATCACCAGGCAATGACAATATAGCAAGTCTGCAGCACAGAGAAGTCCTGTCTTTGGAGGACTCATCTTCTGTCTTTGCTTTGTCTTTCAGAAATGTAGATGGCAGCTGCTGTCTTTGAAGGACTCACACCCATCTGACCCTGCGCAGCACCTCCGATTGCTACCATGATCTTCTGCATGCTGCTGTTGGCCTTACTGCCTGAGCCATCTGGCACCGAAGTCAACCCTGGTAGGGAGCTGCCAGGCTGGGAGAGGACTCTGATCTCCCACTTTTCATATGGTTGTTCTCAGCCTTTCTTTGCCTCTCATGGTGAATGCATATGAATGTACGTAAATGCAATCACTAATGTAGTTCCTGAATGTCCTCCTCTGGACTGAGATGGCCAGTCTTCCATGACAGCTGTGCTGGAGTGGGACATCTGTCCTGACAGTGCCAGGAGGGCTCAGGCACATGGATATACTACTTTTTTTTGCCCACCCAGAGGGTCTGTGCTCTCAGCAGGCCTGTCCTGATTTCTGATTATCCCTTCATCACTTCAACTATGTGATCTGCAGAACAAACCTGGCTCTAGACTGGCTCAGAGATAATGTGCTCACTGTGGAAAGCAAATTACCAGTTAGTAAAGCATAAGGCACAGCTCTCCAGCCAGCAAGAGGGGTTCTGGAGGGAGAAGTGTGGAAAGAAAGGTAGAAAACCCTACCGGGTACAAAGCTAGGGTGGAGACAGGGATATGAGCCTGAGCCCCTATGGAGGGCATGGCCTCTTATCCTACAGCATTTGGCAAGTTATAATCATGATGGAGATGAGTAAGATAATGGTCTGCATATATTGCAAAAATCCCCTTAATTAGGTAGTTTGAGCTGGAGACGGTCTGTGAAGTAAATGAGTCTAATCCTTTTCCAGCTTGGCTGAAGGTATGGTGAGGCTGCAGTGCTACCCTGAGGGCCTTTGTTTGCTGTGTCTGGCTCTTTGTTTGGAGCCCTTTGACTGTGTCTGGCTCTGACCCTGCTTTAGCCTGTGGATCTTTGCAGAGGTTTAAGGTTGCGCAGCAACCAGCCAGAAGTGAAGTGAGGCCTGTGGGGGAGCTCAGCAGACACTCCTGTGCTCCCCTGTTCCCATGTCCAACTTTGAACTGGGGTGCCATCTGCTTCTAATGGTTAAAACCTAGTGGAGGAAGAGGGAAGATGGCAGCTAGAGGGTCAGTCACATGCAGATTCCTTTTGGTGGTGGTAAATACAGAAGTTAGCACACCTAAATATGCAGGAATAGCTCCCCCACCATCAGATCCTGGAAGGTGGGGTGGGCTCTGAGCACAGTGCTGTGGTCCCACCCTCCTGCAGTAATCTTTTCCACCAAGAAATAAGCATGTAGCTTTGCTCGCACTTCTCAGTACTGCCTGTGACTGGCTTAAGCAGCTTTGCCTTCTGAGCTCCCACAGCTGCTCAGCTGTCTCTCTGCCCCAAGGGGCCATTCCCTGTTGTTCCCAGCCAGACTCCAGCACACCCATAGCCCAGCTGATGCTCCTCAGCTGTGATGCCTACAGGCTCCATTGATTATGTTGACCTCCTGAGCTGCTCCAGGAGTGGTCTGAAGCATCTCCTGCATTGCCTTCTAAACTGAAGGGACTGCTTTGTGGATGATTTCAGACCTATGTAGGAAAGATCCTGTGGAGTCCTTTTGCCTAGTATCAGTTGTTTGACCTCACTAAGAGAGGTGAGCTAACACTTTGATCCTCAGTGTATCCTGTCTGCATGGCATGAGTGGTAGTAAAGTGTCAGTGATATCCGAGCAGGAGTCTGGTGGCACCTAAACAGAAGCCAAGGTTGGTTTTGCTCGAGAGGATGTGCATTTTGCTGAGATCCTCATGCTGCTTGTTTTGGCGAGAGCCACAGCCACCCGTAGAGTGTATCCCTTGATGCCAGGGACACTCTGGCTTCCATCTGCCAGCCCTGGATTTGTGAACAAATGAGTTTTGTTAAGGATTGCAGTAAGTCCCCGTCCCCCAGAGCCCTTCCCAACTAGCTAGCTCTCTGTCTGGCATTGCTGTAGGGTGTGCACTTGACCTTTAAATAAGGTGTGACCAGACAGGACTCCTATTGCAGAAGCACAAAAACACTTTCTGCTTTCAGATGATGACCCCACCCTTTTGGAAAATCTTCAGATATTTACCCATAGTTCAGCAACATACTAGCTTTCCAGCAATAGATCAGATTGTACTGGTCTGTGATGGGACAGGTAAGAGTGCAGACAGTCGAGGCTAGTTTGGTTTACTAAACTTACTGTTCAGTATCAGAGCAGGGTTAGAGTTCTCAGTTGGCTTTCAGCAGCCACAATCATCATGTCTGATCCCAGTCAGACACCAGCTACCTTCCAGTGAATTCTTCTGTAAACAGGCCTCTTAAAAAACCTCAGACATATGAATGAATGTTCTGGGTGAGACCAGGGGGCGATCCAGCTTGGTGTCCTGACTCCAGCAGGGTCCCAGCTCTGCTGGTTCTAGAATAATGCATAGATGGGCAAGCATGCAGCAGTGCTTTACTCCAGGTATGCTTTCGGCTCACTGCAGTCTGCTGCTTAGGAGCTTTCTGAGCTAGCACTTGTGTATTTGCTTGTGCTAGCTGTGAGTTTGTCTAGCTGATTTTTGAACCCATGTGAACCTTTGGCATTCGGAGGCCTTAATAGGTTAAGGATGCATATGTTGTTTTTGAACTCTACTACCTGATCTTTTGATGCCTCCTAGTTCTGGTATTTTGAGAGGCAGTGAGTAATTGTTCAGGATATAAATAATCTTTGTCATACTGCACTTCAGTAATCTCTTTTGTAATGGTGAGGCTGCTGATATTTTGTTTTGAATAATCTGTGTTGCCTTCTCTGCCTTTGATGGGAGAAGGAAGGAGTAAGAGCTTGCCCTGGTTTCAGCTGGAATAAAGTTAATTTTCTTCCTAGTAGCTGGTATAGTGCTGTGTTTTGGATTTAGGATGAGAAGAATGTTGATAACACACTGATGCTTTAGTTGTTGCTAAGCAGTGTTTATACTAAGTCAAGGACTTTTCAGCTGCTTATACTGACCTGCCAGTGGAGGCTGGGGGTGCACAAGAAGTTGGGAGAGGACACAGCCAGGACAGCTGACCCAAATGAGCCAAAGGGATATTCCATACCATATGACATCATGCCCAGTATATAAACTGGGAGGAGTTGGCTGGGGTACAGTGTGGCTTGGGGATTGGCTGGGCACCAGGTCAGCAGGTGGTGAGCAATTGTATTGTGCATCACTTGTTTTGTATATTTTTATTATTATTATTTTCCCTTCCTTTTCTGTCCTGTTAAACTGTCTTTATCTCAATCCATGCGTTCTACTCCCCCCCCCCCCCCCCCGGTCCTCTCCCCACCC